GCATTTTTTACGTTGGTACACATCGTACCTCGATGATTTTTCATCCGTTGTAGAAGCTATAAAATTGAGTAATTTATATTAATTTTTAATAGTAATTAAAGCAATATTGATTTAATGAACTTACTGAAATCACCCATTTTTCATGGAAGTTGTTGATGAATTCATTGTTAGACATATTCTCCATATACTCCGGGTTAGGATTTCAAACCAGTTTCAAATTTTAGATCAGTGACCTGTCGGATGAAGGTTCATTCTAAACTGGCTATCTGTAACAAATCCTGATATCCGGTTTTAGATTTCGGTTCAGTTAGACGGATAGAATATTAACCGGTTATATGCTATCTGGTTTAACCAGATAATAAATACAAAAGTATCTGACCCTCCCTAACTTTTTATATTTAAAATGATTAATCGATTCCTATCGCTATCTCTACTTTAAGCTTCCACGTGACAACGCTGCCATGCATGCGACAAATGTTATCGTCAAGGCAAAATGTAACGTGGTAATTATGCTTTTTTTACAGAGAATTGGTGATTATCACTTTAAAATACTGGAACTCGATAAATAATGATGTTTTCGATTCCCCATATCTCTTGTTCAACACATATGATGTTCAAAACCAAAATTAGCAATATGTATATGACAAAATGATAGATTTAATTATGATACCTATTATATTACCCATAACATTACCCATTACAAAATGATAACATGTAGATACCTATTATAAATATCTATTATATTACCCATTATTAATCTCCCACCTTATACTTCATCTGGCCTGAAAATAGGAAAAAATTGCATATTACGCTTAAGAAAGATCATTTTCTCAACCATATTTGGCTGAAGCTGGTTATGTAATGCTGTGATATGTAATCCAGCATCCGAAAATAGACGTTCTGAGAGAACTGATGTTGCTGGTACTGATAGATATCTCCGAGCAAGATTTGATAATATGGAATATCTTTTTGCTCTATCTTTTCACCATGTTAAGGGGTCGTAGCTTTTTTTTTCATTAGATTCAAGAAGGTAATGATCAAGTTCATTCTCTTCAAAATCTTCATCATCTGATTCCTCGTCTCTATATAGAGCTGCCATTAAATCATTTGATGTCACGATTTCAGATGTTGATATATTAAATGATTCATTTCTGAAAAATTCTTCAATTGAAGGTTGGCGGCACTCTTCTTCAATACAAAGTCTTTGTACTTTGTTAATTATAGTTATCTTTAGAGTTGTATTACCAAGAAACTTCAAACTTTTTATTCGTGGATCCAAGAATGATACTATAAGTCCAAAATCATTTGATGTCACGATTTCGGATGTTGATATATTAAATGATTCGTTTCTGGAAAATTTTTCAATTGAAGGTTGACAGCATTCTTCTTCAATACAAAGTCTTCGTACTTTGTTAATTGTAGTTATCTTTAGGGTTGTATTACCAAGAAACTTCAAACTTTTTATTCATGAATCCAAGAATGCTGCTATAAGTTCAACATCTTCAGATACTTTCCAATATTCTTGAAGAGACAGATAACTTGCAGCTTTAACCAAATTATGCAATCCTTCAGTAGTAACAGGAGACGCTATTATCTGGCGATCTTTAAATCGTTGATCACGTTGGTTTGTCGTACTTGACGTTTCATCATTCTCTTGACTTTCTTGTAATCTTGTTATAGAATTTTCATGATTATGATTATGACCACGACCATGGTCATGATTACGATCACGATCTCGACCTCGTTCTTGTCTTCTTTCTCTTCCTTGTGATACTTGTAATGGTTGCTGAAGTTGCTCTTTTGTAATCATTGGTTCAATTTCGTTATCGATATCTGAATTATTGTCAATAATTTGACTTTGATCATTCATTTGAGATTCTTCTTGTTCCAAAGGTTCAAATAACAATTCAATATAGTCATCTTCGGTTTCTTCGTCGGAAGGTGCAAACTCTTTGATAAGTAATGTCATTGTCAGATATATAAGATTGAGAGTAGGATAATTTGAACCAGAGAATATAGTAGTAGCATTATAGAATGGCTTTAATAGCAGAATAAGATCATCTAACAATCTAATAAAAGTATTAGTTAAATTCAAATAAGTAATAATATAAACAAAAAAAAATACATACCTCCATTCATTATCTGTCAGATTTATTAATTTTAAATATTCACCATCAAGTTTATCACATCGTTCTAATTCTAATGGCAATATTAGAGCAAGATAATCTATTGCTTGTTGTAGTTCTTTAAGCCGAATTCAAGCCAAATATGACGAATTCCATCGAGTTGGTACATCAGTAATTATTTGATGAATTTTTGAATAATGGCATTTTTCTTGAGCATCTTTAAGTCGTTCTGATTGTTTAGGACTTTGTACAAAAAAAAGAATCAAATTTTTTGTCCGCTTAATAAATTGTGTTATAAGTTTGAGATCTTTGAGTACACTTAACTGAAGTGTGTGTGCTGCACAAGATAATTGTGTAATGTTGTCCATTAGTCGGATTGCTTTTTTAATGTTAGCACCATTATCTGTTATGATACAAAAAACTCGTTCATTCAATCCCCATTTGGTGATAATTCGATCAAGTGAATCTTTGATATATTCAGCCGTGTGTGGTGATGGAAGTGCTTGAATTGATAATAAATCTTCTTTCAAAGTAAAATCTGAATCTGCTCATGTTGCTGTTACTGCAATATATCCTTCATTTGTTCTTGAACTCCATAAATTCGTGATAAGATTAACAAATTCACTATTTGTATTCATTATACCAAATAGTTGATCGTGACTCCAATTATAAGCTTGATCAATCATTTTTTTGCTGTTACTTCACAAGGAATTTGAAATCCAACTTTCAAATTGTTTACAAATTGACGAAAAGCTGGGTTACGTAGAATATTGAGAGGTTGACAATCTTGAATAATAAATTCAATCAATAATTGAGATAATTTTTGTTGTCATCATTTGGTAATAATATGCATTGCTTTGACAATCAAACCATTAGTAGTCTATATTTATAAATAGTTTATTAGTAAAACTTTAAATATTAATTTAAAAATGAATTTTCTTACTGTCTCTTCAGAATGATCTTTATCTATCCTATGCTTAGTCCAAAGATGACTGAGCATATTTCCTGTTGAAGAATCATATGTATATTTGATAATAATATTTTTCTTTTTACATATTTGACATACATTAAAATGATTATTTGTTATTGTTTTAGTTTTGAAATAGTCCTACACAATACTACTATTGTCATGCTTTTTTCATTTTCGTGTTTCATTATTTCTAGGTTCTTCTCTATTTAAAGAAGGTGAAGATATATATTCTCCTAGATATAAAAAATATTAG